GATTAGAGAATGGACAACCCATATCCAAAGGAGAGCCCAGGTATAGTTAGGTGTACTCCTCTTCTGGAAAAGTCCTTACTGACTTCACTGGTAGAGATAAATATGATGAGGATGTAGATTAGTTTTATTTTAATTTCAGTGCAAATTTTGCCCTGATCTCCATCAGAGATGTCAAGCCCTCAAAATTTATCCTCTTCCAGTAAGATATAATCACAGACCCCAAAAACATGAGTTAAGAGATTCACCTAGAAAGATTTGAATCTAAAAAATTAAGTGGTTTCAAGAAGAGAGAAAGAAAACATTTTATGCAATTAACATATGCCAGGCATTGTAACAAAGTTTCGATCCTTTTACTTCTACTACTAAAGACCTAAAGTCCCTCACTGATTCTCAGATGACTGTAATTAATAATTGGATTTAGAAAATAATTTAAAGTTCTATAGTTTTAGGGAGTTTGGGTCATCTACAGAAATTAGGTGGAGGTTTCTTTGACTGAAGTGGAAAAAAAAAAGAGATATTAAAGGGATGTAACCAGAATTTATATTGTGCACTAAGAACATTCTAGCAGGAGGTTCACTGGTGCTGGGATGAGATGGAAGGAATCCTAACACTGTTTTATAAAGAACCATTCATTTTACTCAAGGCTGAAGGGCGATCTGACTTTTACACAAATTCACATAATTATTTTAGCATTTGTGTAAGACAAAAACTTTATATGTGATATGAAATTATACAACATTCAGAGAGTCTATTTAGGTATGTTTAGATATTTCTACAATTGCCAAAATGTGTTTTTTAAATGAAGCCATTTAACTTACTAAGTTTATTTTAAAATGTTTTCTTCCTCTACTTTAAAACTCATTGCATGGGTTTAAAAATTTTAGCATTATGTGTCTGCACATAATCGGGCACAGATGATGATAGCTTAATTTCCACACTGAAATAATCTTTCATGCAAATTTGTTAGGAGTGGTAACGTTCAGCAGCATAGACTTCATCTGTTTTGTGAAGGCCATGGCAAAACCCATGCACTACTAAACCTTCAGAAAAGGAATGAGAGGTATGGAGGATTAGTGCTGACTCTCTGTGCTTAAGTGAAAGCCATGCTTTTTAAGAAAACAAAGTGTAGAATTAACAAAATTCTACCTAATTTCTGAAGCTTCTTTTCTCCTTGCACCCAAGATGTTGCAATCAGCAGGAGACACACAGTATTGCATGGTCTGCTTTCACAAAGCAGTCACTAGAGGCCTCTCGCTTTCCAAGGCACAACTCGTGTCCCTCAGTTCAGTAGAATTATACAAGTATTTTCATTTTATGTGCTCTAGAAGTTACTGTCCACAACTCACATGTGGCAGTGAAGGCTCAGAACTGAAGCTGAAACAAAAATACACATTACCTCCCTCAGCGACTTCCTCCTCAGTTATCTCACATTCCAGTGCCATGGTAACAAAGCCATTTGTGTGCTCTCTTTTCTCCATTCCTCCTCCATACATCCTACCTCCTCCCTGCTGCTTCTGGTTGATTTCATGCAGACATTTTTTTGGTCTCTTTTGAAAAGTCTCATCACCCTGTATGTTATCTGTAACCACTGGGAAGGGAAGGGAAGGGAAGGGAAGGGAAGGGAAGGGAAGGGAAGGGAAGGGAAGGGAAGGGAAGGGAAGGTGATTCAGTAAGGCTCATGTTCAGTCTCTAGATGCTCTTTCCTGTGACTATATGGGCAAATTGGCTCCTTAATTTAGAATAATGTTCAGTGGTATGAGTGGTCTGCCAAACTAAAGCTCATATCTCAGAATGCCTACCATAACATTTTTTTAAAGATGCTCAACAATGCAGCAGCTACAGGTTGAATTAGCTGACGTACGACAGGTGGAGGTAATTTAATTGGCCACAGCATAAGTGAGAATTTTCTACTCTTCTGTCATGAAGTCTCCAGCAGACAACTCTGGCTGATAAACTGTGCTGTTCTCTACTTTTCATGCTGATTTATAAATTACTGTTAAATTACCTGACACATGCATCCAGAAATATGTGCCCCAGTACTATAGTGGAAGCCTACTTCCTAAAACTCATTTAGAATTGCTGTAACTCCAATCTAACTTTACCATAGTGTTTTATCTTTGTATTTATTTTATTAATTTATTAAATCACAAAATATGATACACTGACCCAAGAATAATAGAAGTAGGTTAGATTAATATGCCAAACAAAAAATTCACTGTCAGATTCCATGTGCAAGTCCTTGAGAAGTGACTTGCATTTTCTCACTCATACTCCCCACTTTAAGTATTTAAGACCTGCAAGATTTACTCAAATTATAGGAAACCTCTACATATTTGGCACATAGATTTGTGACATTAGCTTTAAAATCCCAGACACAGATTCTATGGTAAATGAAATACACAGATTCCTTCTAAAGGAAAGTAAGGCCTAACTGTTGTATTCTGGTATTCCTTTCACAATGCTCCCATTCACTTAAATCTTTACATTTATATTCACCTATCCAGTTGGCAGTCTTACAAACTTGCAGCTTATGTGTACTCAGCTGGGCCACTGTAAATGTTTCAGCAGTGAAACAGTAAAGCATACCCCTTCTTCCCATAAAAGGAGATTGCTTTAATGCTGACCAATTTACTAAATTTTCTGGAGTGTGCCCATTTAAAAGCCTTGTGATGCCCACAATAACTGCGTGTATATATTTAAAATGTTTTGGATTTTTTTTTTTTTAACTGAGTTTATATAGTATGCCTACTTTGCTATATAAGTGGGCAATAAATGTAAATTTACCATGTGATAAACACCTGGTTTTTCTACTGACTCAAGCAAGTGTAGAGAAAAGGGTCAGTGGTTGAAAAAATAGTTGTACCTAATGAAAGTGGTAGCAGCAGGGCTGACTAGCATGAGACAGCATTTGGCTTCTTGCGCAAACTGAAGATGGGCTTTTTGCATGCAGCAAACTCCACCTGAGTTACCCAGGTGGTATTTTCCAGAGAAGTCTTGCTGGAGAAGACTTTACCATTAAAAGCCTTTGAGGAGGTCCCACTCTTGGATAAGGGTGCAAGAGCCTTCCTTATCAGGTAATTCAACATGACTGAGCACACTCACATTTGGCATGGGGAGACTTCTGACTATACAGTGTCGTGCATGGAGAAATACACAACAGCTTCAACACTGAAGGGTCTGAGTACCTGGGATGTAGCCAAGGGTGAAACACAACCCTCTGTTTCTCACACCCCAGTCTTGAGAGGTTTGCAGAGTCCCTAGATCTTGCTGATAAGAACAGAAGGTAAGAACTCTCACTAGGTCACAGGAAGGAGACCGCAGCCACAGAAAACATAATCGAGCTATTCAAGTTCAAGAGCATTTTAGGAGGGGCCTCCATTAAACTATACAGTCAGAGCCCTTTGCCAAAAACAGAGCTAAAAGTGAAGGGATTTTTCTACAGTCCTAATATTTACAATTATTTGTACATATGTACATATTTATATATTTATTCATACTTGGACAACGGGATGTTCAAGGGAAAATTTTTAATTTACAAATGAAACATTTTAAAAATGTATGCTTATACCATGAAAAAACCCTTTTTTTATTGCTTGCCTTCTAGCCTTTTGTTCATAATCACACTATTGCACACATCTCCATGTTACATGGAAGATCTACATTTACATATAAATATATATGAAAATAAGGATATTTTTCTTTTAATGTTCTGAGTAAAGTGCTCATTTTTAAGCTACTGTTGATGAGAAAGGTTTAGTCTGACAGTTTAATTAGAGGGAATTCAAGGGATACACACCTTGTCCATGCTTCTCCCCTTCTTTTATAACCTACTAAATGTCTTTATTTTACTGATGTCAACTCTGTCTTAACTATTAATTCTATTTATAATATGCATTTGTGACCTTGGCATCTATACTGTCACACAAAGTACAAAACAGAATCACATCAAAAGCAAAGAAAAAGCAAGAAAATAAAACAGCAAAAGAAAGCAGTGTTTCTCTTTGTTGTTTTTAGCACACTTCCATGTCTTAAGATACTCTTTTATTTGATTTTAGAAATATTTGTACAACTTTTTTTAAACTCTGAACATATCTATTTTATGCACTATACTCAAGTTACTGTACAAAACTGCAATAAATGACACTATACGACTACATATGTCTCTACTAGAAGACATCATCATAAAGGTGTTTCTTTTTTAAAGGTCAACTAATAACTGCTAATGTATGTGTGAATCAAAATATTTTTGATTGGCCAAGTATACTAAAATCTAAATACAGTACACAGTTATTATTTATGCTATGATTTACCAGGCCTTTAGGGGCATAAAGAATCTTTGCAAAGTCTCAGAAGAAAAACAATTTTACTGATAGTATTAAATGTTCTTATAAAATTGCCAATGGCAGATCCAATTTTTTTATATTTGTGTATATGAAATACAGTTGATGCCTACTGATGATGCATGACCTTTTATTAAAAAAATAACATTCAAATCTTAGCAAAATCATTTCTAGTATACAAAGTTGTTGTAAAGTTATGTCAGCGAAATCTAAAGTTGCAATTTACAAAAGCTGCAGTAAATTTTATTATATGGACATATTCCTGAACTTAAATAATGGTTCTTGTTTCCCTTGAAAACAGTGCTTCCTGGGACAAATACAGGTAAATATTGTAATGGCAGGATTTAGGAAAACATTAAGCAAAGAAAAAAGGTATATTATATTACTGATAAACTTAAACCTGAAAAATTTCTGTGTGATTCTAGAAACCTGAAAATAATTCAATTAGGAACAAAATCAAAAATAATAATTGATAAAAAATCCAGCTTTGCTGAACCAGACAATCCCGCTTAGTAATATTGAATAAATAAACACTGAAAAAATAAGTATCTTACTAGCAGAAGTCAGTTGATATTGAATTGGATTTACCCTTTTCCCTGAACTCAATTAGATGAATTTATTAACAACTTCAAAGAGGACAGAAGTAAGAAACTTAGTAGAGTGTTTACTACCTCCGTGATCTAACTTGTATCCAGAATGTTTTGAAGAGCAGAACTGTACGACCTCCGTACTCTGTTATGTACATGGGTACTGCTATTGTATGAAACAATTACACCTTTTTAAAAAAATCACTTTTTTTAAATGACAGTTTCTTTCACTAAAGTAGAATTAGTTACTTTATAGAAAAATATTTTAACTTTAAATTAAAAAAATACTGCTCCTAAATAATTATGTAGGATCACATCTTCATCTCATTGTACGGAGAGAATATAATTCTGTATATTTGAATCCTAGTTTAACAGAAGTCCCCTGGGTTTAACTTTTAAAGAGCTGGCTGTATTTGCCATGGGTGCTATCTGTTTACAGACCCATGAATTAACGCTGTGTCCCTCCTTTGGAGACACACAGACAAGACATTTATATACACACTGTACAGAATGGTTCACAGATTAGCAGTTATTAGTCGGACTGTACATAGCGAACAACCTATCTGATTAGAATGATGCTTGAAGTCCTCAGTGCAAGTCAGCTTTTAGGTTGATGGTGCAAAGCCAAGTAAGACAGGCTCCCTGTTTAAATATGTAGCCCAATACACTAAATTAAAAGTACCAAATAAGACTGGAAACACTATTCTAGACATTCTGTCAATTTTGCTAACACTGTTGAATGTCTTCTTTGCTTCTTGTGGCTTCGCTTCTGGTTTTGCCTTGTTGGGTTCTGCAGTTGTAGCACTCTTCGAGATGGTTGGTAGCACTGAGTCCTTGGTAATATTTGGAGCATAGTTGGCAACAGCCACTGCATAGGCATTGTTTTTCTTAATGACAGATGCTTTTTCTTTTTTCTATCGGAAGACAGCATGAAGTTAAATATTTCATGTGTATTTGCCAGAATAGACTTAATAAAACATAATTTCAAAAGTAAAAGAAACAAGTGAGCATATTAAAATAAATACCATGCCAATAAATTCAGATATAAAAAAAGACATTTCCAGTCTATCCAAAAAGAAGGTTGAGGTGACATAAGATTGCTCTTGCACCATCAAATGCCCTGCTAAGTTATGTGAGGAAGTCTCTGTTACTGTGACGGTAAGCATAACTGGAGAAGAATTGCCCTTTCTGTAGTGGCTTTGCATCTGTCTCCTTACAGCAGAATTGCAAATTCCTTACAATGTTTTCTGTGAAGATTACCCGTCATGGTAGTAAAATTAAAATTAGGCCACCTTTCTCACATAAAACTAGCATGACTATCGTTTAGGCATGTCATAACACACCACTAATAAATAAATGAATTTCAGTTAAGGGTTTACATTTTTTAGAGACTCTGGAGAAATGTGTTTACACATATATATACATAGACACACATATAGAGAGGTCAGTAAGAGATTGCAATTAAGTGAAAGAAGGAATCCAGATTGATAGTTTTGGAACTGAGCTGAGATTTAGCCCTAGAACTATTTCTGGTTTTCATAAATTATTGGTTAAAAAAATGCATAACAATGATGAAAACAGGACTAAGAACATAAAAAAAACAGCAGAAGATAAGGATAGTGGGGTGGGATGGAATTAATTTAATGAAGCTCAGAAAAGGGCAATTTAAATCCTGGACCTGGGGAGGAATAAGCTATGCACCAGTGCAGGTTGAGGCTAATGGGTTAGAAAGATGCTTTGTAGAAAAAGCCCAGGGGGTCTGGGTGGCCACCAAGTTGAACACAAGCCAGCAGTGAGCCCTCACAGAAACAAAGCCAGCAGCCTCCTGGGCTGCATCACAGAGTGCTGCCAGCCAGCCAAGGGAAGCCATCATTCCCCTTGGCTCAGCTCTGGTGAGCCACATCTGGAGTGCTGGATCCAGCTCTGTGCTTCCCAGCTCAAGAGAGACATGGGGATAATGAAACTAGTCTAGTCAAGGACCACGGAGATGATTTAAAGCCTGAAGCACCTGAAATACAAAAGGCCAAGAGAGCTGGGGCTGTTTGGCCTGGAAAAGAGAAGGCTCAGGGGAAGTCTTGTCAATGTATGTAAGTATGTGAGAATAAAGATTAGACTTTCCCCAGTGAAATACAGTTGAAGGACAAGAAGCAATGAGCACAAAATTAAATACAGAATATTCCACTTAAGTATTAAAAAACCTTCCATTTTTACTATGATCTTGACCTAGCGCTGGCATAGGTTACCTAGAGAGGTTGTGGAATCTTCATCTTTGAAGATATTAAAAAAATATCTGGACAATGACCCTGAGCAACCATCCCTAGCTGACCCTGCTTGCACTAGGGGAGATAAATGTAATGATCTCCAGAGGTCAATTCCAACTTCACCAGTTCTGTGTTGTTATGGGACTGTGTATGCCTTCAAAGGGCTAAAGTTCAGCCAGGGGCAGGTCACTGGAGAGTCCATGTGGACACATGGGCACAGGGATGTATAGGGAATGAATACAGGCTTGGGGGTTTAGACAAATACATAGGTTCACAGACTAGTTCTGCAATAAGACTGTAATGCTGTAAATTAATCCAATGCTTTGCAGCTATCTCAGACTAAGGAATTTCTAATAAGAATTCCTACAAGAAAGAATGGAAGGCAGTTTCTCAGGAAGCAATATATATTATTTATGTGTATATACATATACATCATTTATATATAAAACAATACAATAATATAATGTAATTTAAAATATATGTATGCAATTTAGAGACAAGCAAATAAATATTAGATTTAGTCTGTCTCTTCCACAAAATACAGAATTAAGCAGATGAAAAAATAGCTAACTTCTGGATCATATAAGAAATCATCAGCTGTATGGGTTTGTTTTTATTTTTAATCTGATGGATGTGACACAAGTAAGGGAATTCTTGTGACATTTCTCATATAGGTGCATTTCAGCTTTTTTACTTCCACTGGGAGGCATCTATTCAATTTCCAATTTTTGGTTTTAAATTACATCCAATTCGATATTTATCTGGGCCATCTAAAAATCTTGCTAAGATCTTCATGGTTGGATGTTGTGCCTATAATATTTTGTCTTAGGAGATGGTGTCACATAAAAAGAGAATCTGGGAACCAGCTGGGAATTCAGCATTGTTCCTTATCGACTGGCATGTGAAAAATAACTGATCAAATATGTGGGTTTTTCCTGCACTTGCCCGCCTGTGAGGCAAATTCCCTGTCAACAGCACTTAGAGAAGAATTTCCATATAATGTGAACACAGACAACTGTCACTGAGGAAACATTTCCTTTTAATTAGTGAAAAGTATTGCATTTTAATTAGTGAAAAGTAAGTCTGGCTTTAGGTGTACAGATACCTTCAGCTCAAAAGAGCAAATTACCAAATTTAATTCATCTATATTACCAAATTAAATTCATCTATAAGTCCTTCCTTTCAGACACAATTAGTGTGTTTTAAAAGGTATCTGTACTATCATTAATGAGACCTGCATAATAAAGCTGAATCATACTTTTTTTCTGAGAAACTATGACTATGTTAAAAGCTTATCTTTTTGTTAAGTTAGTTTGAAGAAAGAAGAGAACTGGACACATGGATGGTATATAAATCTTAAAATGTAATGGATGCTATTTTCACTTCTAGGGAAGGAATACCGGCTAGCTTTTAAAGAGCTGCCACTCCTAAGATCATGAGACAACACTTGTACTTTAAAGGAATAACCAAAGGATGATCAGAGAGTTTTTAAGGACTCCCTACATTATTACAATTACAATATTACTACCATTATTGTAATACTGGCAATAACTGGCACACAGGGCAATGTGCCAGTCTGAAAAGCTTCACTCAAGACATGCTGATAAACTCGCCCTGATTTACTTCTAGCAGGAGGTAACAGATCCTGAAGTCATGGATAACACATGCCCTTCCAGAAGTCACAGGGAATTATGAAGAATGAACATTTCTTCTAATTCTCCTTTACTATTGACTGAACATTTTGCTTCTTTATGAATTGCTTCTTTATGCATGCTTCTTTATGCATTCAAAGTGATGAGAAATCAGTTAATGAAACCTGCTCCACACTTACTAGAATCATTTAGGAAGCAAATAAAATTCTATCCTATTTTAGGAAGGATCACAGAAGTCTGTGTATCTTTCAGAAGAAATCTGTTTTCATTGGTAAAATCAAGGACTACAATAGGAAAAAAGGATAAAATATATTAAGTCTGTCAAAATGAGTGAGCTTTAATAATTGTTCTGTGTTATTACAGTTCTAAACTGCAAATACAAAAATCACTAGCTCATTCTCTTTATGAAATGAGAAATTCTATCAGGTCAAAACTTGATTCCATCATTGCTACACCATTATAAAGACCAGAAAATTAAGGCATGACTGTGTTTCTGTGTACTCAAAGCATCAACACATCATAGGTGAAGAATTTTGTACATCTGCTATCTAAAGTGGTTTTAAAATTAATGTCTAGCTATCATTAGCAGTAAGTTTCAGAATAGTGGAAATGTTCAGAAGTTCTAGATTTTGTTATTCATAGTACTAACATATATGGATATTAATTTGCTTTTCTAAACCTTACATACCATTATTAATTATTAATTATTACAAAATTGATCTACATTATATATTTCTGGGTTTTTTTTCTTTTTATTTCCAGTTCAACTGAATAAAAAATACAAAGAATGATCCACCAATATAATCTGGATTAAATTTTATGAATAACCAGATAAACAGTTGTATCTGAGGAGTCAAAAAACAAGACAGGCAGTTCCCAAAAGATAAGGTTCTTGATAACCAAATCTGGATAAGTGAGACCAAATGAGATTAGCATAAGGGCAGAAATATTCCTGTTCAGGACAGAAAATACGTGTACATTCTTTTGATGTAAAGCTTTTTTTTGTTGTTATACAGCAAAATATCATAACAATATATTAGAGCTGATTTAGGTAATTGACTGGAAATAGGACAATTTCCTTAGGACTTACCTTATCATTCACTACACTTTTTCCATCCCAGGCCCATCCTCGTTTTGTGAAATAATTTACAGTTGCAAATTCAATTAATGCAGAGAATACAAATGCATAGCAAACAGCAATAAACCAATCCATAGCTGTTGCATATGCTACTTTGGGGAGTGAATTTCGAGCACTGATGCTCAGTGTTGTCATTGTCAACACAGTTGTTACTCCTGCAGGGGGACACAAAAATAGAACATCAACAATTTCACTTGGATTTTGAATGTTAGCAAAAGAAACCAAAAAAAAAATACATGGTACGCTTTTGAAACACAATGAAATTTTTTTTTCAAAGTTGCTGACAAACATTGCTAGAATTGTATTAAATGTTGTATCTGGATTTTCCTTTGCAGATCAGTCAGTTCAATTTCCTGTCTAGACTTTCCTTTTTAGATGAGCTGATGATTTTACTTACAGAAAATAATTTTTCTTAACTTGTCAGGGCAGGATAGGTTATTGTAACTAACAAAATTAATAATTTCTTCACAGATTCATAATATTTAGCAACATTAGAGCAATAATGATTAATAGGTTAATGTTTGGTAGCTGGCTTCTCTGCAATGGCTGCAGGTTTGGCACCCATATTTACTGAAATTACCAAACAAATACACTTTTTTAATGAGAATTTTTTTTTCTTTACAGTTGCTGTCTTACTAACCATTCAGTGACATACTCAAAGACATAAACAGTGTAAGTTCTCATTCAGGTAACATGGATTGTATTCTAGAACAGCACTGATTTGCAGTGACAGATTATTGTAACTGTATTATGTGTCAGAAAACAGGAGCTGGTGATACAGGAAGGCTGTGCATTCACTGTGCAGTTACTAAAAGAACTTTGCAGTACTTTTTTACATAATAAGGATCCAGTTTTAAAAAAAAAAAGTCCCTCCCAAAAGAATCCGGAAGAAGACACATGGAAGGAAAGGAAGAGAAGGACTTCTGTCTGAGTCAGATTTAGCAAGCAGAAATCCACAGCCATAAATACAGTCTCCATTCCTTAAGTAAATCAGTTCTCCCACCTCAGTCTGAATCACACGTAGACAAACCAAACTATTCCCTTTGTGGCACACCATTAAGCATGTCTGCAGAATTAAAGGCAACACAAAGTGATGTACTCAGCACAGATCAGCAAACCTACACTCCACTATGACAGCAAAGGAGATGCCATGGCAGAAATATTAGTAACAGCACATCACAGCTTCAACAAATACACACTCATAAAACTGGTGTAGGAGGCTTCCCAAGAGAAAGTAAAGTGACTCTCCCTAAGCCAGACCTTCTGCTGTCAGCAATCTGTCACCTGGGTTCTGGAGGATCAACAGAGCTCTGATTCTCCTTCTGCTACAAGAGAAGAAGCAATTTTAACCACTGTGTGAAAGAGAAGAGAGACAGAAACTGCATCTACTGAGACCTCCTCAGACTCCACAATTTTCGTCCCTCCAGTAAAGATTCTCCATCTGTGAAGGTGCCACAAAGGGTGGCAGAGCAAAGCTAAGTGGACTCGGCCTCAGTGCCTTCAAAGGTCTGTGCAGCAGGGAAAACAACACACAGAAGCATCCTGCTGAGTCACACAGGAGACTCCTTAGCAAACATAAACCTCTAATTGCTGCTTTTCAGCCTCCATAAATTAAAGAAGTGGATGGCCTGGAATCAGCCATGACACTGTTGGCATCTACTAGGCTATACAATGAAAAGGAAGCAGCTATCACACGGAACAGTACGAAAATCTGTAGGCAAAATATATTTTGTAAAGAACTTAGTCTCTCCTAATGCTTACAGAACATATGGCTTAATTAATTTCAGCACCTCAGGGAAAAGAAAGCCTATCTTACATCTAAAATTATCACATGTAAATTTTAACACTGGTTCTGAGCTGCAGATAAACCATTATAATTGTACAGAGATTCAGTAAAGTGAGTGTTTCTCAGATATAAGGTGACCTTATCCACATGTAAATATATACAGTTGCTAAGGTATTACTCAGTTTAAATCCCACTTTATAGAGTAAATTAATCTTCTGGAAACCACATTGACTTCTTCAGAAATCTGATTTAAGATTTACTGCTGACCTTTCCTAGTCCCAGTTAAAACATTGTGAATTTATATCTTGTTACCACATGCTACCACTTGACAATTTCTCTAAAAAGTTCAGCAAGTTACACCACTTTGTGACCCAAATGCTAATCAAGCAGCACACTGTCAGACCATTGCCAACATACTTTCATTTATTCCTTCACTCTATAAATTCAGTGATGTTCAAGCTAGCACAGTCATTTAACCTGAATTGAATGGGAAAAAATTGGACAGAAAATTTCATCTTAATATCTGTCAGTTTAGGATTCTCTAGTCCTTTTAGATTGCTATTATTCTTCAGAGAAAAGACAGATGATTTTGCACATTATAGTTTATTTGAAAAATCAGTTTTATCAAGTCTTCTTTATGAAAAAGGACTGAATGGAAATAACCTGCCTCCTTGCCATGGCTAAACCTGAGAGGACTGAAAAGTTGTTAATGTGGAAGAACATGGTCAACTTGAAAAAACAAAACTCATTTATTTCCTAAAGGTTTAACTTAAAAACTCACAAAACCCATACACTGATCAGAACAAAACTGTTCATCATTGCTCATCTAATTCATAACACTAGTGAACTAAAATTGGCATAAAATTACCAAGTAGATTGTAGCCCCTACAATGAAGTGGTCAAAAAACATTTAAAGGGCTATGTAAAGACTGCATGATATCTCACTATGATGCAGAAAAATCAGTTTACATACAAGGCAAGAACTCTCTTCTATAGCCCAGGACACATGATGCCAGAAGAAAGTCACGTATTATTTTGTAAGGACCATGAGCAGTCATCAGTTTGTCTTTGAAATCAAAGATCGAAAAAAATAAACCATCCAACCACCTTTTTTCTCCAAAGAAGACCGAGCATTTTTACTTAGCAGTAAACATCCTTACAAGGTTTGTTCTCAGCAGTGCATGCCTACAAAGCTAAATATCTTCTGTCACTACAGGTTTATCCATTACAGCCAAGACTGGAGCTATTTGATTGCCTGGGATTTTTTTTTTTTTAATTTTTTTTTTTTTTTTTTATAGTGCTGCTTTTGAAACAGCATTTGCTTACTGGAGAGAGAAAATACATCTCCAGAGCTGCAAATTCAACACTTTTCACTGGCACTAAACTTATATCTCTGGAAAGTAGCAGCTCTGTTTTGCTTATAACAGTGGAAGAGGTAATCTGAAAAGCTAGAAATGTCTAACTAGAAACAGAGAGTGGAAATTGGAGGAGTTAACACATATATAATACAGTTAAAATCTGTCAAGATAACTACTTTATGCCCACACTTATTAGTTACACATAATGGTTGAAGAACATATCACAAAAGGATTGATAAATCACTTTTTTTTTTATTCAGGAAATTAATTTCCTTATTCTATTTTTTAACAGCAATTGCAAATGTGTTTTGGTAATTAGATATCCAACCTGGCCCAAAACCCAAAGAGATTCATAAATACAAATAACAGCAGAAAGGAAAGATTGTTGACCATTTCAGAGATACAGATTACCACTTCATTTTATCACTCCAAGACCAAATAGAAGTGTAAACAAAAGTTTAAAAATTCTGTATCTAGCATGATATTAAAGCATTGCACCATAACATTTCAGTACACAGGATGCTGTTTGCTTTTATTTAGTCAATGCATATGTGTTAGGAGGGAATGCAATACAAAAGGAGTGTACTTTTTTGCTCAAACGCCAGCAGGTAAATCTGAACAACCATTGAGAGAATGATTACAGAAAATAGCTCATCACTCTGTCTACCCTTTTCACTAAAATAACAACACTGACCAGCCTTTTTAAATAGCTTGGGAGACAAGAACTATAACAAAATCTATTTCCAGAAAAGCTGAATTCAATCAGTTGGGTAAGCTTCGTATCCATATGGTGAAGTTGGCACCATGCTGCTTCACTGTATCAATACTGAGCAATGGAACACAGTGTCCCATTGAGCAACAGACAAGTTTATTCCCAAAGCCAAATGGCAAATGCTATTTACCCCAACTCCAGGAAAAGCTGCATGCAATTATGCCACCCCTGGAATATGAACTAGTGACTTCACACACAACTAAGTTGAGGAGACATATTGGTTTGTTTGTAACCAGCTCAGTCTCTTACTCAGGGCTAGTTTTCCACTACCCACTGCCTATCACTATATAATTATATCTACATTAAGCAGAAATTCCCAATTAAGAAATTATAAACAGAAATGTGTGAGTGGTGGGATATCTCTAAATGCACAAAAGATAATCTGCAGCATGTGGAAGGAGAGAAGAATAAAGACACTTGAGATTTTTTTTCAATGAAATGGGAAAATGTACTTTGTATTTATAGAATTGCTCAAAAGGACGGGTCTTTATTATTCAATTCCCATGTAAAAATAACCAGAGAACAAATCTTCAAAGTTCTCCAAGAACTTTTCTTGGGTTTCTCTTTCTGTAGTGTCACAATATAAAAGTTGCTTTGGGTTGGCATGGCAAGGTTTTGGTAGCGGGGCCTACAGTGGTGGCTTCTGTGAGAAGCTGCCAGGAGCTTCCCCCATGCCTGAGAGATCCAAAGCCAGCCAGCTCCAAGAGGGACCCACAACTGCTGGCCAAGGCCAAGCCCAAGGGCAACACTGCCGGTGCCTCTAGGATGACATATTTAAGATGGAGAAAAAATTATATTGAGCAGACACAACTGCAGGCAGAGAAGACAAGTGAGAATATGTGACAGAAACACCTCTGCAGACACCCAGGTCAGTGGAGAGGGAGAGGGAGGAGGTGCTCTGGCACCAGAGATGAGATCCCCCTTTAGCCTGTGGTAAAAGCCTTGGGGAAGCAGCCGTGCCCCTGCAGCCCACAGAGAGGTCTATGGGGGAGCAGAGATCGACCTCCAGCCCACGGAGGGCCCCCCAAAAGAACAGCTGAATGCCTGGAGGAGGCTGTGACACCATGGAAATCTGTGCTGGAGCAGGCTTCCAGCAGGACCTGTAGCTCCACGCTGGAGCACTCTGCTCCTGAAGGACTGCACGCCATGGAAAGAACCCACATCAATAACAAGTAAAAACAGACACAGGAACTCAGAGCAACAATAAAATTATCACAGTGAACTGACAAAAGAACATAGCTATGTGAATTTAAATATAATAAACAATAAGACGAATTTTTGTTCTTTCCTGCTTCAGTTAGCAAAGATTATATACCTAACTACATTTATTTTATCATTCTCATTGATGCTCCATGTGAGTTAAAGGATAGATAACTGTAGAACTAAGAAAACGAATTTCTGATTTGTCACCTGCATCTAATGCTGCTATTCAAACACATGTGATGCTTCTAAGTGCTATGACCCATTAAAACAAAGCAAGAATCCAATAAGCTGCACAAGATTAGTTTTGCTAATATTGTTGACACTAAATGCATGACAATAAACACATTAGTAAATGAAACAGATTGTAATCTTGCACTAAATGAAGGCATTATGAACCAGTCCTATTTTCTTTCATTAGGAATGCAATCAGATTTATCTGCTAGAGAAAACACATTCAAGACTTATTTAATCAATGATGACGAAACTTTCTTCTTCCAATAATTTAAAGCAAAGTTGAAGCAATATAGTAATATTAAATAGATGCCAAAAAGAAAGGGGATTAAAGAGCTCAACTATAAAATAAGCCTCATTATACCAACCCCTAATGTTGACCTAGAACTTGAAACCACATTGAAGAAAGAGAATAAAAAGGGAAAAGAAAAGTAACTTCTTTCACCCATGAAATAATACATGCTAGGTGGTGCTTTGAATAACTTGAAGCTATGTTTCATTGAAAGGAACAGTATTCCTGTAGTAGGTCCTTAGCTGGCAAGAAGATCATTGAAATAAATTTCTCATTGATTTTCAAACTTTGTCAGACCCATAACTTCTGTTTAATTATATTTTAAAATTGATATATTTGATATAAAATGCAAAAATGGGTATCTAACAAGTGACTACTCCATATAAAAACTGAAAATTAAGTATGATCAATAAAATGTAAAGGAATACCCCCTAAAATTTTTATATTCTCTGCTGAATGTAGCTCATTTCATTAATGTGACTGCAGCATGAGCTTCTCTTGTCACTGGATGGAGCCTACTCCAAAGTATCACCCAGATGAAACCTTGAGTGTACCAGCCCAACTCCAACTGACAAGAATATTTCCGTACGCTCAAAAACCACTAAAGAGCTACAGAGGAACTTTGTTATGAAACTCTGACTAACTGTACATTTTTGTAACACATTCAGGCAAGAGACCAGGGGGTATCAGAAATCCCAGTGATAACTGCTGCCAGAAGGAATGGAGAAAGCCTGGGAGATCCACTTGGGGCTGTGCATTTACGGAGCCCATTGGCTCAATCTCATCTAGAGTGCCAAAGAATGTTATGAAATAGCTCCTTGGGGAAAATCCAACTCAACCCAAGGAAAAAGGCTAAGCCTGAGGAGCAAATGCTGCATGCTAGGGCTGAGGTTTCTCCAAAAGGCAGAGCCTGGATGTGTCTTGTTTCCCTGGGTTAAGGGTGCCTGGAGGGGACAGAGCCCTTACGGCATACAGGGTGCATGTCTGTGTGGCAGGAATAAAATACTAGCATAAAACTGCCATGTCTGCAATAAACTCATTGTTTTTAGTAAAGAGATTTCAGGTTTGGTGTCGCTGAGTGGTGTGATTCTGTTCTTGTGGCCCTCCTATGCACTTTCCTCAAGACTGAATCAGCCCTGAAGCAGGACACTTCATTATCCATGTTACACTAAACCCCAGGAGAGCAAAGCAGCAGCCTGCCATGCAGATACTACTTATTTCTTAAAAAAATTATAAATTAAACAGAAAATAAATCAATAATATAGAACAGGTGTGCATGAAGGGACACATTTCAGGAAAATTATCCCAGGGTCTTGTTATGCATGGAGTGCCTTGTTAACAGTGACACAGTAACACAAAGAGCATTTTAGGAAGAGCAGATGTGAGACTTTTTTTTGGAGAGACCAGTGACACTGTCCTATATGCATTGGAGTGGATACAGAAAAGAGCAAAGACAGAGATATAGAAGGATTTTACAGTGTACTTGTGGGGCTGGAAAACAGGAGTGTACATTTTCATAATCAAAATAGATAAATTCACAGAAGATTTTGAAGAAAGGCAAAGAATCTGCCTGATAGCTGCCTGGAAAACCATGGTAGAATTCTGGTCCCACTGAAACCATTGAACCACTTCATCTGACTTCTGTAAGGCTCATATTCAAACCTGCAATTTTCACAGTGCTTTGTGTGGCATGTTTTCTACCAGGAGAGACAGTAAATGCTTTGTTGTGCATAATATTTAATATGCATTTGAGTTTGGCCTATTTTTTGAAGAGTACACGGCACTCACTGATGACTAAGCATATGATTTTATGCAGCATTTTTTGATGGGTGATTTCACACAGAAAATAATTTTATTTTGCTAATCTCTTTTTCTTTAAAAGCAAACAAACTAAATGAACTTTGCTTTGCAAATAGGAAAGACGTTACTTTGAGAAACACCATCTTATTGCTCTGCTGAACTGACCTCACAGTAATTTCCAATTTGAATTAGCAAAAAAGTGTTGCCCAAACCCCCGGAATAGGGTTTCTTTAAAAGAACTTCAGCTTGAAATTTTAACACAAATAATTCAACAAATTCAAATTTAATTTGCCTAATTTAAAAATAAATTTAGAAACTTGCTTATCTACCAAGTACCAGAATACTTGGATAATACCAAGGTAAGGAGGATATTTCAGAAAATAATCTAAGTTTACTAAATTTACTTTTTAAATACAAACATTAATATCTTTTTCTATTCTGTGATTTTTTTTTTTCCTCTTAAGACTCAAGGATATGAGGACAGTTTGCTTGTATGTACTAATTTCCAAGACCTTTGGGATTCTCAGGAGATGTGTAAGTTGCAGTTGAAAGCTGTTTGGACTAGAAATCATATCACATTCTACAAACACTTTAACCTGAATGAAAAAGCCCTTTGATTCAGAAGTACTTTCTAGCATCTTCAGCTACTGCAAACAGAGCTACTGCTACTCAGTATACTCACCAAAGACTGTCCTGGCAGGTACAGATTCTCTGTTCAGCCAGAATGACACTTGAGACAGAATGACAGTCATGATACAGGGGAGGTAAGTCTGAATGACAAAATAACCAATTTTTCTCTTCAAGTGAAAATGAGCCGTCATTACTGTATATTCACCTACGTGCCACAAACAAACAAAAAACAAAAGGTTATCATCTTAAGAAAATCCATTTCCTCTGTCCTAGAACATTTGCTATATTTATGTGAAACAAATGTCCTAGGGTTATATTGTACCAAAGGTATTTTGTAATAGAAAGCATCCTGTAGAACGTAAGAAAGATTTTGAGTACAGCTATTTCTTATTCCCACTGTGTTCCATGAAAGATAAGTGTCAAGGAACTTCCAGGAACTTTTGTATGCACTGAGAAGTACTTCAGCCTTGAAGTCTTCTGCTTCTAAGCAACTCTCTGCATTCACACAACAGCTCTCTGAGAGTTTAATCACGCTTAGAAAGAAGTCATGGAGGTCCTGGCCTGGCACATGCAGGAAAACAGTCTAGAGTCTAGTAGAATAGTCCAGTGCTTCATGTCAAAACCATGATGGAAGGGAAACATGGTTGAAACCTGTCTGCTTTACCATTTAATAGACAAAATCTATGAAATGAATCCATGAAAAAATGAAATCCATGAAATTTAACAAATATCTCAACCCTGATTTACAAATGTTAGGGTTAAACATGAAGCTCCAGAGCTCCAGAGATCTAGCATTTTTACAAACAGTTACTGAGGGCAATTTCACCTCTGCTATCACCAGCTAATTATAATTTGAAAGAATCAGTGAAGTGCTGTTTTGTGTTACTTGCACAGTACATGCCTAATAGATCCCATTTTGCAACATTCTTTTTCAGAAGCCTGTAACACCACCTGGAATATAGTTTTCACAGCCAGTAACTGCCTTTTTCTCCAAAATCTTTCAAAATTTTTTTTACTAACCTGTACTTGACTTAACTGTCTCTTTTCCAATTGTTTGGCCTAAAAGATCATACTGATTCAGTCTTGAGCCATCTGGTGCCACTTGCACCGAATCTGAAGCATTGTAAGTCCAAATGTATGTCACTTCTGAAGTTGTGTATGCATCTGTGGGAAACAAGGTAAAATATTTCATCAACAATTTAAATTAAACAGCATCCATCAAAACTCACAGAATTACAAGAACTACTTATTTTTCAAATAAAACTCACCCCAAAGAATTTAAAATCGTGTGGTAAAAATATCTTTGGTCATTTAAAATAGCTTTACTATAAAGTAAGTGCCTATTGTAGCATGGGAACAGGGCACTAACTTGTGATCTTATTAAACACAATTTCTCTCTATTAAACTACAAACAACATTTCTTCTACACTGTTAAAAGACTTGTGAGAGATTAGATATTATATTTATCCTATAATTTGTGATAACACAGATGAAAAGAAGAACAATTTGCAAGATTTAGGACACACAAAATTTTTAAAAATTCATTCCTGTATAGTTCTGACCTTCCATTGACTCCATGCTCAACTTCGGGGATGTATCACAAGAATTTTATTATTAGTTGAAATCCAGACTTAAATATGGCAAGCCAGCAGTGAAAACACCCTGGTACCTTTTTCTGCCAACCCTCTTAAATCTCACCAGTGTCCATTATTTTGGGGGACACGCCAACATTAAACAGGCTGCTCTCTCAGTACATTCATGATCAAACATACATTTAGCCTGGTCTCTTCTCAAAATAAACTGGTATGAAAGCAAATCAACACTGTATTTTAAACAGCACTAATGCCTCTCCAATAAGTAAGGAAAAAAAAAAAGAGTATGTCCAGAAAGTTTTTACAGTCTAATATGCTATTAACAAATGGAATATGAAAGAAAAAGGGTAAACCACTTTGAAAAATGAAAACCCAAGAAGTTGGGTGTTCATTTTGATTGACTGAGACAAGTACATTTTAAATCCTACACCATAATTGCAGTGCAATTAAAAAGTAAAGCATCATTACTGTTGGTCTGCAAACATTTTCACTTGAGAAATCTCTAGAGGCTCAGAAAGTAGCTTTTTCATGCAACTAGCCATAAATTGCATGACTAACAAAATCTAGCAGGTGGGTAGCAAGTAGAGATTTTTAGCACTTCCCATGTATCCTTCCAGCTTTACACAAAAATATCTCTGCTTTAATGCAAACCAGCAGTATGGCAAATTGCTAATTTCTCTCCATTCTCTTCACTTTCAGCTAGACTTTTTGAAAAGAATAAAGAAAAGCAATCTATTAAGCTACAGCCTCTCCCATACATTCAATGTGGCTTTTCTCTTATGTTCAAAAAGAGACATTCATACACGCTGATGATCCTCCTAGCAACATAAGATTAGCAGCATATGAAGAGCTGTGACAAATATATACCACTGGCAAACTTGCCTTAGTTAAACCAAAATCCTCAGGATTCCTGCTTATTTTCACCACTATTCATCATTCAGATTCTATCCCAGAATAAAAGCTGAAAAATTGACAGTTGTCTAGAATTGAGTCCTAGGTAAAGAAATAAAATGTGTGTGAAGCCATTCAAAATGAACAGAAGCAAGTGCCACCTGAGAATGTGCCAACAGGCACGGGTGACTTTGAGGGAAATGAAATACACTTTTTAAAATCACATTGCTCACATTTAGAATTACTCTGATTATTAGAAAATCATAGGCAGAGAAAAAAAGAGCAGGCTGGTAAGAAAAACAAACAATCAGGACCAAAAAAAAAGACAAAAAAAGGAGTGATTCACACAGAGTCTAATACACCTAGTAATAAGGATTTCCAATGTAAAATTGCTCCAAAAGAAAGTAGTCTTTTGGCCTGAGTATCAGTTCCATTATTACATGAGTTTTCAAATTGCTTTGAGGCTACATAGGAGTCTTTTTTTCCCTGCAACACCTTATAAATCCAACATGCCTTGCTGGGTACAATATGTCAATATTATTAGTCAGTAGCTGATTTTGGCTCACATCTCTGGTGTTAGTTATTTAGGCTGCATTATGTACTACAAATATAATATTGAGGGGGCAGGAGAAGGCTCCATGATGCAAATAATATTCATTTTAATGATCTTTTATCTCCATAGCTAAGATTTCCTACAAATGTGGTAACATCATCAGAAGCACAGGCTTTGTTTAATTTGCTATAAACTCCAAGGAAAAGGGATATTGGAGCACGATGGAGACAGTGTGCTTGTCATAGCACAGTGCTATGACAAGCATCATGTGGTTAATGAGGTCCTTAGTGGCAGCATATCCCCTGGTTTGTATTCTGTGGTTGCTACAATTATTGTAAAGTCAGCCAGAATTTATAGGGCTTTAACTTGTTTCCTCAAAAAAACCCAATTTCCTTTCCTGGGCCCAGCAGAGAATGTAGGCTGCAGCCAAAGGAAAAAAAAAATAAAGCTTTTAGTGTAAAACGTCCAAAACATATATAATGAAGAAGAAGAAGAATGGCTGTAATCTAAGAAAGTGAAATAATGCTGCTGTTAAAAATAATACCAGTTAGGTCAAATTCCACCTGTTTGTAACATGCAGATGCAATAAGAATGAAATTTTTCATCACATGAAGCCATTCACTATTGCCTTCACTGAATAAGAACATTAGAAATATCATTAACAATAAAGAGAAACTAAGTTTTGGTGATAAATTTAAAAAACCCACTCACTGAATTCCTCTATCTGCTCTTTGTTAATGCTACACAGGCTACGTGCATCCAGTTCTGTGCTGGTCAGTGTGATTTGCACACTGCAATGAAAGTAGACCAGTGCAGTGTTGATCAGGTGCAGGCTGTTTGTTGTTAACTGGAGTAGTGAAATCTTTAAAATACACTAGAAGACACAATACTTGAATAGAGAAAAGAGATTTTGATGTGTCAGGTTACAGTGATTTTTTTTTTAAGTCCCATCTTGTGGTTTACATTTCTCATGTAACAGTTTACTGAAACAAAATTATGCTGAGAAATGTTAGATATTCACTAATCAAAGGCTCTACTTCCCATTATATACTTACAGCTGCCAAATTTCAGTGGGCACGAGTGAGCATCCATAGGGAAGTCCTCCAAGTGCATTGGACATTCAGCTTGGACTGTAAGCCTAAAAGGCAAAAGATCTCTATGCATTAAAGTCATTTAGCAGGACAAGAAAATCAGTTCCACAGAAATGAACAGAGTTCATGCCAATTTAGTAGACTAAATTGAAATTTTATATTAAACTAACAAGAATTTAAATCTACTTTTACTTCTTCCAATTTATGTGTTCCTTTGAAAGGCATTTACTTATCATACCAAGAACCTGTAAAAGCTGACCTCAAAATTATGAACAAAGGTCATTTAAAGAAAAATACAAATTAAGTACTGCCAGGCTGTTAAGAAAAATAATTTTCTTCTCATAATATTCTGTGGTACTTGTGTGCTCCTACAGCTCTTAAAGGAGCATCTAAAATACAATTAACTTGCCCAAGAACCCTACTTGAGTCTTTTGAATTCAATTTTTTTCACAGTTTGAATGGAAGATACAGAGAAAAAATATTTGTGTTCTTTCAAAAGATTGCTGCTGCTCATTCTCCATGTTACTAGTGATTACTCTTTATGTAAAGTGTGACAGTATGTTAACAAAGCATCCACTTTTGCCTATTTTGTGAAATATCCCAGTATCATCTACGGGGATTACCACAATAAAAAATAATTTAAAACAATTTGAAGAAAGCATTTCATGGACTTCCCCATTATTTTTAGTTTTTTAAAAAAGCCAAGAAAAAACCCTATGTTACTCCTTCCTATCCTTTAAGTCTTCTCTGGGTAGAGATTTTTTTCTGTATGCCTTTTCTTCCTCTTCATCCAGCCCCAAACATCAGTTACTTCTGTAACTGATGTATTCTCTTCTGTATTCCCAGTGGTTCCTAGTCATTGTATTCTCTGCCATATTCTCCCAGCCTTCCACCAAAAAATATTTCATATTTCTACTTCTCCACTCCCCAGGATTGTTTATCTGAATTCAAGGGGCACCAGGAGATAAGAATCAGCAAACAGGCTGAAGGCAAAGGAAATAACTGCATGAGCCTCTGATGTAAATCACACAATCATTTTTATGTAGACATGATAAAAACAGCTGTTTAAAATCTAGGCAAAACAGATCAGTGTACACATTAATCTGATACCCTGAGAAGCAACATACTCACAAGTAACAAAAATGCTTAGTCAATTATAATTAACCTGACTCAGCTTATGCTTCATAATGGTTTCAAACAGTATTTCCTATAATTTATAGTATATGATTCTTATACTCTCTGGAGAAAGAGAATTTCCATCAGCTTAGACAGATTATTCTCAAATATTAATTTGAGCCAAAGCAAAAATACAACACAGGGGGCCTGAATTTACTTCAAGCAAACTTTTCTGAATCTCTCCAAGCACTACAACATCCAATATCATCAGCAGCCTACTCATCAACTCTCAATAGGGCAAGGGTTTCAGAGCTGTGTAGTAAAATCGGGTTTCAGGGATGCTGGCATGGCTGCATGGAGAAAGTAGCAGAGTACATGTTAACTTTGAAGCTCACATTTTCTATCTGACTTAGGCTGGGGATTTTAAGTCAGCCTTCACGACAACTTCAATTTATTAAGTATTCTCCAAGAAAAAGAAAAAAATCTAAGTCAAGGGCTTCTGGAAACTTGGGTAAAATATTCAAAAAAATTCACATAGGTAACAAACATTATGGCCAAAAGAGTTACCAAAGAAGAAATCAGTCCTTTAAAAATGCTAGTAATATCTGTGTATACATGATTTTTATAATTTTTCATATTCTATATTCTATTTTCTAAGCAAATTTAATACATTTTACCAGCTGAAATATTTATCTTAGCTACAAATGATGCACAAGATGAAAAAATTAAAATTTAAAGTTAAATATTGTAACTATATATAAAGAAACAGTAATTACATAGTAAGACATATTTTCCCTTTAGCTCTTGCTGGAAAGAATTTGAGATATTATTATCTCTTCCTTCTTGCTCTGTTTTTTTATTCCTCCGATCTTAATAAAAAATTTGCTTAGGGGCTCATATATTCAGTATAATGGCTGCAGTAATAGGTCAACTCCTACATTATCTTAATCATTCTAAAACAGACTTGGTAAACTCTACCTGAAGGTCTCACTTAACTTTATTAATCTGTTCAGTATCTTCAATGCATTACAAAAATTGAGGCACACATAGGAAAACTGATCTAACTTATTATCAGCCAAAAGACTTTTGACAGAACTGGAAACAAAACACACATTTTTCTAGCTTTCTTTCTGCTTAGAGAAAAACAAAACAAAGGAGAGTTCTCCTGAAACCTGATTTAATTGTTCAATGGAAAAATCCCATCAAGAAATAGATTGAGTAGAGATGAACAGACGTACCTCATGGTGTACAAGAGTGTCCCATCGTCCTGGATTCGTAGAAGCTTGTTTGGCATTGTCATGTTATGAGCCACTGACTTCTTCCCATTGTGGAAAAATGTATCTGGAGTCCAGATTTTGCTGGCCATTAGGTTGTTCAGTCGAAGAATGTTCATTGGGCCTTTAAACTTTAATCTCTCATCCTTCCATCGCTGACGGAAGAACACATCTATCGTGTACTCCTGTAATGGAATAAATACGTGTCTTTTTTGACACAATGAAACACTAATCTGCTTTCTGAGAACAAAAATAGAAAAGCTTTGTCTGCAAAATTCCCTTCGCAAAATTGTCAAGGGAGAACAATCATCACAAAAAAATTGTATAGTACTGAGAATAATAAGCAGGAAGTCAGCTTATTAAGGGTATGCATTCTTCTTCATGATTGCTAGGTGTTGTTTTCATATTGAACTCTTTCAATATTTATATATGTTTCTGATGTACAAAATATCTGTGACCTGGATAATTACAGCAAACACAGTAAGGAAGGAAAGTAAGGAAAAAATACACAAGATTAAATACTTCTTTCAGCATCTTCTCCTGTAGAGTAACTCAGCATTTCAAGAGCATGGAGAATGGCTGAGCCTGGAAGGAAACACGGCAACCCATAAGGGGTACAGTACATACAAACAGAATGATACAAGATTTTTCCGAAGAGGAATGTAAGGCTCTGTAGTGGTGTGGATTTTATGAACAAAAGTACCTAGTTAGGAAACAGCAGGTGATGATTAACAGGTGACACACGCTGCCTGGTGAACATCACCCTGATGCCTAGTCTTGGAAGCAGTACAGCGGGGAAAAAAGGATGCAAGCAAAAGCAGACTGATGACCTAGACCAGACGCCTGTGTCAACAGGCTGGGTATCCCATCTGGTGGGTTTGTTGCTGTTTAGTTGGTTGCTGGCTGGGGTAAACCACAACACAAACAAACAAAAAACTGATTAAACATTGATAATGTAAATTTATCAGCTATCTTCAAAAATGAAACTGCAAATGGATTTAGTGCTTTGCTTTGCCCAGCATAAAACTTGGATACGGGAGAGCTTAAAAACTATGTTGGAAGCAAACTGTATTCAGCATATTGGCAAATGCTACCTTGGTGCAACTTTCTTTTGTTGGACAGGTACAAAATGTGGTCTCATGACTTCCAAATATTAGTATGCTGCAACAGTCTGTACTACTGCAATTGCTCTGCATAGGCCATTTTCAAGTAAATTACTTTGAATGGACAAGGCCTGATAAAATTTAACCAATATGAAATTTTCAAGGGATTTCAATATAAAAGTGACTTCAAGGAATTTATCAGCCTCTGTCATTTTCTGCTGGCTCCCTTGTGTGCTGATTAACAAGGCTTAGGGTTCTTCTCCATCAATCATACAGAAATACAAAAGGAGTGCTGACTAGACAGAGACAAGTGACAGCTCTCTTTAGCTCCTTTGGTGTGCAAGCCAAAGAGCTGTGAGGACCTTTTCCAGGTCAGGGCCAGAGGCTGAGGAGAGAATGAGGAATAAAGGAAAGAGAATTTTGTAATGTGAAGGCGCATGACAGGGGCAGGAGAGAAAGCAGTTCTCTTTATGAACGGCGACAGATGCAAAGAGATATTTTGGAAATTATGGATACTTATAAACTAATCTGACAAAAAACAGAAGCTCAGTTTTTAGCTATACCAAGAGGTATATACATAATACATTAATGTAATAAATTCTGTCATTTTTCTAATTAAATTTTTAAAATTTTAAAATAAACTTAAATAAAACTAACATGACAGTACACTGAACATTTATTTGCTTGGTTTTCTTTAATCTCATTTTCTATTTTCTCTAATAATATTTTAGCAAATATATCTGTTTTATACAAAACTATGAACCTCTAAAACATGCATTTCTTTGATATTATACTGGATTTTGTTCAGTGCCTCATCACTGCTAGAGACACCGCCTCATAACAAGTGGTTTGCTCACTTCTTTATGATAGATCACATTTAATTGTCCTCTTTTATTTGCTGCTTTACATGTTGTTTTATTTTTTAGATATCATGTGGCTTAAAATCCCATTTACAAATAACAAGCTACCTATCAGTTCAGTTGCAGACCAGGGAAAGTGACAAAATGCATAATATCATGGCGGATCAGGAGCAGCAGGGGAGTACATGAAATATGGATAGAAATACCCAGTAATTAAAGGAAAATTGCCCTAAGAGTCTCCTTGTACCTTTCATCTGAGGGGCTTTACCAATAAATCATTTTTATGGTAAGACTGATGTTTGAGGTATAAAGAATTGGGAAGAACAGCCTGAAGGGATTAAGACTTTGAAATTCCACTGAAATTCAATAAGAGTGAGTGATTCGTCCTACAGGTTCTTTTGACAAACACCTCTGCACATAAATGATTAGAATATAAATTTGAACCTTTTTGCAATGTTTCCATCAATAAAGAACTTCAAAGATCCTGGTTTTCTACTGTCTTCCAACATTCATAAAAATAATTACAAGAGAAATAAAATAGAAAAAAAAGCAGACATGAAATGCTACTAAATCAAAACAGCAACATTTCACAAAACCCTGCATCTGCTGCATGGCAACAGCTAAGGAAGTAGAATGAGCAGGAAAGAATGAGCAGTAAAATGAGCTGCAGCCTTGAAAGATCCTACTGGGAAACCTCTGACTGATCCACAGGTAATGGTTAATGGCCCAAACACTGTTAAGGTAATCACCAAAGGACTTTGCCCACTATGGCAAACCATATAAAAAAGCAACTGCTCTTCTGTTCTGAGACCACAGAACCCCCCTCTCTCCCTCTCCCCACTATGCCTCTGTGAATTCCTGGAAATTTGGACAGTAAGTTAAGCCTCCAGATAGGAACTTGAGATAAGATAAAGGTGCTAATATTGTCCCATTATCTCAGGTCTAAGGAGGAGTAGACAAGGCTGAAGTAATGTATCCACAAGAAAAGCCAACTCTGCAGATGTGCTGAAAGTAAGCCCTGGCTGGGGCTGGTAGGGGGAGGCCATAGCTGCCAGACTCATTTCTGGGGTCTTCCACCTGAGGTCTGCACATGATCCAAACATGCAACACATTCACATATTGCAAAAGACAGTGTAAAGCTCCCTTCCCCAGGAGAGGTGTCTGGGCACTCCCATGTAAACCTGAACATACATTAACCCATTGCTAATACTGACATACATATTAACTCCATGTTTCATGGTCTTCCCACAGCCCTGGCAGATCAAAAGTGTGGCCATCACTTTGACTAACAAACACTGAAATTACATCAAGCCTTGTTGAATCCATGTGTGGTGATATCTTTCTATTCTCCTTTCCTTCTCTTTCTGTCATTTCCTTACAAATTTTCTTCAGTGTTATTTTTATGCTTTTGTACTGCTATATTGCTATTGATACTAATAACCAAAATGGCTACATACCCCCTTTCCATTGCAACCAAAACTTTCCAAAATTAACTCATACACACACACACACACACACACACACATATATATGTGTATGTATGTATGTGTTTATAAACACTGGTCATTCAGTGTTGCTTCATCCTAATCTGCTCCCAGGACCAATTAATAAGAACCTGAGTTACCCTCACCTTTATGGTGGTTTGTAACACCCTCCAGTCTGTGCTGGAGATCTTTATTTCAGAACATCTCATTTAGAAGATGGAAACAGGATAAACCAAGGTTTGGTGTGAATGATGACAAACACCTTCTGTTTCCATTTTCCACAATAGTAGTAAAATCTCATAGCTCTTAACTTATCTTTCTACAGACTTCTTTGCATTTTTTTTCAATGGAAGTATTAGGATCTGAATTTTGTCACTGTCCATTTAAAATGATTATTTAGGCAACATACAACCCCTGCCTTTGCATCCCAGTGTTATATTCACTGACCCTATGTTCCCTTCTGTGCCAAATCTATTCTACTTATGACCAGGAATATCCCTACTGATTTTTACCATATTAAAAAATTAAAAAACAGGAAGGAATTGAAGTACATTGAATATAATCAATATGATAAAAAGCCAGCTACAAAAAGCTGCTACATAAAGATTTTGAGACTAATTCCTATTATATATGTTTGATATATATAACTTTGTGATAAATGCTGTGTAATGTTTACTTTTCAGTCAAGACTAATGTCCATGACAATGGCAAATCTGGACTTCAGAAAAAATACTGAAATTAATACCTGATATTTCTTTCATTCTGCAAATATTCTCCAATGAAAAACCCCTGTTTTCTCTGGATATGACCTAAGCACTCTGCAGTAAATAGTGCAGTATATCCACAAAACCACAGGAGAAAACTTCCAGGTCTTCAGAGGAGTCCTGTGATCATTTCTAGACAAGAAAGTGCTGCCTACTGTGTCGTGTCTAAAATGGTGCTTATACAGCCAGACTCTAATGCAGTATGATTAAACATAATCTTTCAAATATGTGTTATACTACCTTACATGAAATTTTAGGTGCAGGCAATGAGATTCTTGCTGGAGTTTTAAGAAGCACTTGACCCTCTGCCAGTTCAATGAATAATAAAATGGCAAGGAAATTTTATTCCTCTTTTAATATGCAGTTGTTGTGCATAACACTACGCACCATAAAAAAGATAATAGTGTCTCTGGCTGAAGCTTTAACTGACCTGAGTATAAGCAATCCCTCCCCACTACATGACAGTCTTTATTTTTTTTGTTTGTTTTGTTTTGTTTTTTGCTAAGGCCAGATTTGTATCTGTTCAAGCAACAAAAAATGTACTTTCATCCTTTCCAATAATGGTTAGTATATTTTGGAAGTTTTAGCATCTGGAGTAAAGATGGATGTGTTCCAAATATCTCAAAAATTGTAAGTGTCCATTAGCAAGCAGTATTGTCCTGAAGCAGATGGAACATGTTATTAATTACCTTCTGGAACACAGCATTTTGTTTAATGAATAGTTCAAGCCAGAGTTCCTCATTCCCTATTGTAAAGATTTTTCTGAGTAATTTATCTAAAGTATATTTGTCTTTTTCCTAACCACTCTTATAGCCAATAATGGACATATATATATAACCACAAAAACAAATTTTAAATACTGCAAAATATAAAACATTTAAAATGCAAATAAAAAAAAATTAAAAGCAAGCAAAGGGGAAATGGCACATATAGCTTTCCACTGAGTCCTTAAAACAGTTGGAAATACTGTGGTT